GGCAGCTGGAGCCATAAGGGAAACAATATAGGTCACTCGAAAATTCTACGTTTATTGAGTACGGTCAACAACCAACTACTGGGCGTAAGTGATAAAAAGGTGAAAACACCTTTAGGGAAAAACTACTTTTAGGTAGTTACTCCCTGTGATTATAACTATAGGGCAGATGATGACCATCGTAGCCTAGACTGCTTCACCGATGGCTCACTCATTAAGGACAAGGGAAGCGGTGCTGGAATACATATACCTAAATTAGGGATCAGCATCTCCTCTCCTCTTGGTAATAACACCTCGGTCTTTCAGGCATAGGTCTGGGCCATCAATGTTTGCTGCAGAACACTCATGGATAACAAGATTAAGGGAAACGATATTAAAATTTTTTCCGACAGTCAGGCCAGTCTTAAATCTTTACAAAAAGAGTTATAAACATCTAGGCTGGTAGAGGAAACAGTTGAACTCATTAATAGGATTACTACCAGGTACGAGAATAGGGTAACCCTCATATGGATACCAGCTCATAAGGGGCACTATGGCAATGAGGAGGCGGACAGCCTGGCCAAAGAAGGATCAAATACTGCGTTTGTCGGGCCACAACCGGTATTACCCCACTCTCTAAGCACTGCGAAAGAGAGTATAAGTTGCTGNATAGAAATAAAAATCTAGTTATTGACCATACGGAGATAACTAATAAATTTTTCGTTTCATTGCTTGAGCCACATGATAGTACTGATGATGTTTTAACTGGGCACATTGATATGCAGAGTCGTCTTTGTCGTACTAAGTCGACTTTCTATTTTTCATTCCGTTGTCATTCAATATTATTCATCATCAATTTATCATCTTAATAAACCGATTCTGGCGAGTATGTTAAATCAGAATAATTGTATTCCTGTATCAACTGAAAAGACGGCTCTGTCAGCCTTAAGATTAACTGAGATTATTCCGTGACGGATTTCACCCCTGGGCTGAATATAACGGTCTTCTAAAACTTCATTAAACATTGAGAATTTTAATTAGCAGTTAGAATAGGTAAACATAAACGTAGATATTCAACAACGGACCTTTTAAATTAATTGGGGAAAATTCAGGCTTTATTAAACTGCAAGATAATATGGCCTTTTCTTTCGTTACTAATGTTTAAAAAGTGTCATAGCGAGTTAACACCAAGGATCAAAAGACAAGATGGGAACCCTGGCTGAACAGAGATCAAACAGGCAATGTCGAAATAATATTTAGTTTATGGTTCAGCTTTCAAAATATCCCTGTCTGTGAAGTAGATCAACGCCTAGATCCGTTTATAATGATGAAATATGAGCAGCCATACGATTTAAATTTAGATTTCGAGAGTGTGACTAGGGCGTTCTCTCAATTAAGTCAATTAATTTTAAAATTTCAAGAAAAACAGTCTCATATTTTTTCATTAAGGGATGATCTCGCCTGTGTTAGTCTGACATAAGAACAAATGTGGGTATCGCCTCTCCTCTGACAGGGTTATTTCTACGTCAAAGGTATTTTTCAGATTTTATCCTAACTTTAAGCAATGACGTACAAGATATTCAGGAGGATCCAGTTTGGACTATCGTTGTAAAAAATAGAAAAGTTACACCATCATATCTTGCAACATTGTACAGTTTTTTGAAGAATGTCACAAAGAATCATTAGAAAATAAGACTAATATGTGTTTAATCAAAAGAAACATTGTATAAATGGTGCACTATCTGTTCAAAAAAATTAATTAACTTGTTTTGTGTTTGAAAAATATATAAATATCTATTCAGAAGTGAGATGTAGGTTTCAGAAAAACATTTTCTTTATCGTACCAACGTTTCGATCTTTATTGAGATCATCTTCAGGGCCTGGGATTTACAAACATTGTTTACATTTAACAAATACATTTAGGATGTGGAAAAGTGAATTTATACAATGCAAAATATATTTTTTATATTCAATCAAAGTATTTCTACGTCACACCAGACCGCATCTCACGATTTCTGAATAATTATGGATGAACGGTCACTAATCAGCACACATTTCTACACGAGAAGAACGAAGAACATGGGATTTTATGAACAAATTCCAACTATATATGAATATCATTGAAAATGAATTATTTTTAATTAATTTATATTTAATAAAAATTAACGCTTTAAAAATTGACGCTTTAATTTTTCCACAGAATTATTTTATATACAATTATCCCTGAATTTCCCGAACAGACTTGTAATCTTCCAATAATTGACCGTTCGTGGTCAAGAATAAACCCTATGAACAGGGTCAAAAATAATTCGTTTAAGTTTTACGGCGGAAAAAAAAACGATACAAGTAAAATTTCTAAAAAAATAAATTTCGTTTAAAATTGATCATTCATTAAAATGATAAATGGGGGTGTTATACTTTAGACCGGTGCAGCTTGATAGCACAACATACAGAGCAAATATTGATTATGCAAATGATGTTAGAATCTTGATTATAAAATGGATATGTTTTTGGACTGAATTTTCTTCCGTGATTATTTTTGCGACATCGGTCTCGCGTTACTGAGGAGTATTGTACTATGGGTTAAGTTTGAAAAGGTTAGGTTAGGAATTAAATTAGGTAGTGTTAGGTTTCGTTATGTTTGATAAGGTCAAAGTTGAGTTAGGTTGTTAAGTTGTTGAAAGGTGAAATGACGAGTTAGGTTTGGTAAAGGCAACGTTAGGGACGAGTTATGTTAGGTGTTAGGATTAGGGTTAGGTTTGGTTATGGTTAAGGTTAACGTGTATGTGGTGTTTAGTGACCGTTAATTAATGAATATTTGGAGATTGTAAGATGTGGTCTGGTGTGACATAGGTTTAAAAAATCATTTTCTTTATCATACCAACGTTTCGATCTTTATTGAGATCATACAAACTCAAAGTGTTTGTTTTCTGTGTAGATGTGTCATTACTGTGTGTCGTGACAAAAATGACACATCTACACAGAAAACAAACCCTTTGAGTGAGTACAAATACTTTGATTAGATCTAAAATTCCTATCATTGTATAAATTCATTTTTTCACATCTTACATGTGTCACGTTTAGATTTAAATGTACCGCCATGCCCCTCCACACACATCTGACAGTGAAAGGAGAAGGGGCTAGGAAAGGAGTAATTTTGTCAGTTCTCAGGGCTATCGCTATGCCCTTTCTGTCCTCTGTGGGTTAAAGAGTTGTTTTTTTGTAATAAAGAAAAAATTTGGTGTGCACACAATCCAAGTGAGTAAATATTATATTTTGACGTCAAAAAACTAAAAATAATAACTGTACTTTAATTTAAAAATGGTTGTAACAAAAATATATTTTTATAAAGAAAACGAAAAGAAATAACATTTGATTTTAAAAGTTATGTTAAAATTTTAATTGTATTTTCTAATTGGTGGTCAAAAATTAATAATAATAACAATAATAATAATTTCCTTTACGTTTACTTTTCTTTATAAAACAAGAATTAAATTCGATTTTAAAATTAATGTTTGCAGATTTTGAAATAGGTTTAATTATAGAATAAAAGATTCTTTAAATTAAAAATAATAATTAATAAAAGAAATTGGAAATAAATTGTATTAAAAGATTTCAATTTAATTAATATTTGGTCTCGTATTTATTTTGGTTTGAATTGAATATTGGAATTTCATATATCAAAAAAAGATGCCTGATCATTAAATTAAATTAATGTATTCAGGTCCGATCATAAAAAAACCTCTGGGACCTTGTTTTCGGTTTGTTCCCAAATTGAAACAATGTTTATAAATCCCAGGCTCTGAAGATGATCTCAATAAAGATCAAAACAATTAAGGTTTTTAGTTGAGATAAAAAAGTCAATGGCACGAGCAGGATTCGAACCCACGGTCTTCGGCTTGATACGCCGCTGCTCTACAACTTGAGCTATCGTGACCTCGATCTACTCGGACACTAACGTCCCATCTCAACCCCACCTTTTGAGTTTTCCCTCCTTTTGGCCATTTTATCTCAACTAAAAACCTTAATTAATTGTAATATATTAATTGGTCAAGCAGACCACGAAATTAGTGAATTTAAAGATCAAAACGTTGGTACGATAAAGAAAATGTTTTCTGAAACCTACATCACACCAGACCGCATCTCATGATCTCCAAATAATCGTTAAGGTTAACATTAGGGATAAGTTATGTTAGGTGTTAGGATTAGGGTTAGGTTTAATTATGTCTAATATATAACACCCCATTTATCGTTTATAATGAATAATTATCAATTTTAAACTAAATTTATTTATTTACACATTTTTGTCACTTTTTTTCAAATAGTGTTTTCAGTAGGGTTAAAGATAGGGTAAGGACAAGTTAGGTTTGAGTCAGGGTAAGGATAGGTAAGTTTGTTTATGTTACGTAGGGTTAAGATTAAGGTTAGGGATGAGTTAAATTAGGGTTAGGGTTAGGGTTACGTTAGGGATCTAATGTTACTACACACATTAAAATTTAAAATGACTGTGCTGAAAATCTAAAACATAAAAATATTTTGGTACCAATTACAGGAAGTTTTTAAATACTTGTAAGATTAAGGTTAGGGACAAGTTAAATTAGGTATTAGGGTTAGGGTTAGGGTAAAGTTAGGGTTCTAATGTTGCTACACACATTAAAATTTAAAACGTCTGTGCTGAAAATCTTACACATCTAAAACATAAAAATATTTTGGTGCCAATTACAGGCAGTTTTTAAATATTTGTCTCTATCTATCAACACGTCCAATCTAATAACAATAAATAATTGTCTGAGGTCAATATAATTAATTTGAACTTTCCAATATGTGCTCATTCTACTTCATTACTATCAAAATCAAAAAGGAAACCAAATAGGAATTAAATTAAATAATGCACCCCATTTAACTACCATGGTCCCCAAAATCCCCATCTGATAAATGTAATTTTTCATTCAAATTGATTGCAATTGTGCTTTAGTTATTTGATTGTACTTATTGTGTAATACTTATTAAGAGAAAAAAGTAAAAATATTTTTATTGAAATATATGAACATAAAAGATCAGTTTGAAATTGCCTTCTTCGCACAGATCAATGGTAGCAAACATATTGTAGATACTGTAAACATAATGCTAGTAAAATAAAAGGCTAAATCCAAGTGTTTTCCTCCTCCAGTTATTTCCACTGAAAAAAAAAAAAAATAAAATAAAAATAATGTAGTAATAATGTTATTTTTTCTTTCTCAGTTTGTGATTGTTCTAGAACTATGTTTGTGATAATCACCTGCTACAGGAGGCCCTATCAAATTGCTTAATCCCGCAATTGTGAACAAAATTCCTGTTGCTGGCGTCAAATTTTCAAGGCCAATGTAATCAACCAAAAGCAGATTTCTTAAAGAACCATACAACCCTGGAATTATTATTATAAGTTCAATTTTTATTTTTTAAATTATCATTACCATCATTATTTCATTACAAACCAAAACATAACCCGTATAAAGAGGAATAGATAAAATAAAATGGATAATAAGCAAAGAAAGTCAGTAGAAAAGATGAAGTAGAAATCAGTAAATGAATTATCAAACACAAAGCAAGAGCCTTTATAGTAGGAAAAATGTGCAACAATATTCCTCCTCCTAATCTGCCTACAAATACGCCCAATCCCATAAATGGGATAAGCAATTGTAAATGATGTGGGTCAACATCTTTTGTACTTTGTTTCATGTAAGCTAAAACAGAATTATTTATTTAAAGTTTCATCGCTGACTACACAGCTGAAAAAATATTATGTAATTGGTTTACTGTTAATAAATAGAATTGGCACTGTCACAACAGCGTAAAAACTTAATCCACTTCCACAAAAACAGAGAAACTTAGGAGTTTCGAGTAAAGTGTAACTAGCCATATTAGAAATAGTTCTTACTAGAGATTCTGGACAGCAAACTTTACATGTTGGTTCATTGACATCTTTTTTTGTTGGTAGGTAGTAAACATGCATAGAATAATCCATTATTGTATCCTAAAAAACCAACTTTAGTTATTTATACAGTTAATACATAGTTATTTTAAGTAATCTATAATATACAAAACAAAAGTAATAATAGCTTTGAACACCATTGCTCTTATATCCAAATTTTCAGGTCGTTGATGTAAGTGATTTTAGTTTTTGTTGTTTAAAATTGTGAAACTCCGGGAATATTTTACTAAGTTTGTTTAGTTACAAATGTTTGAATATTAGTAAGCTTTTATTGATATTTCTCCAATGTTTACTGTATGTTCTAGTTTCATGTTTTAACAAATCATGCACATTGCTAAAAATCCTTCTGACTGAAACAACGAGTTGTAGGATCAGGACAATTAGGGATGATAAAACATTGGCAAATGTTGTAAATTATATAACATTTAATTTTAATTTATTTACAGTACAATATTTAATTTATATTTACATTCATGGGTAGAAAATAGTCGCATATTTTTTCAATACTTAGGACCAAAAAGAACTGTTTTTTTGGTTGTTATTAATTATTTTCGCTGCCTATCCTTGTTGGTTTCATCTAGCCAAAACATTTTGGCTTTTCCGCCAATACTGAGTGTGTGTGTGTGTGTAATTTTGTACAGACCCAGCAATGAAGATAAGATGAAGGGGAAATTTGTTTGGTAGGCAAAAACAGCAACAATAGATGTAGATCACTATGTAAAAAAAAGACCATACTACAAGTTCACAACTCCAAAAAGAAATTTTAGATTAAAACTTTTTGTTAAGATACATATAGTTAATTATTGAACAATGTATATTTATAAGCACTTTTTGTGCCAATTTAGTCAATTCTAATTAAATTTCTGCAAGGTAAAGACAAAATATTTTTATTTCTTTTTTTTTTATTCCCAAAATAAGATTAAAATAATCATAAACATAGTTATAAAAAATATTATATATTCTCCAAAATGAATATTCNATGGTTTTCGGAAGGCGATAGCCCAGAAGCAATGTCAAAGGAGTTCTATTCTACTATTTTTAGACTGAAGATAAAATCATGGCCTATGGGGTAACTACAAGAAGAGAATCGGTTTGGCATCGTCTCCGAACTGTCCCACTTGCACTGCCCTTCAAATCCTTCCCCCATAATTTTTGAATGTCCAGAATACAAAAATGAAAGAGACAAACTGCTAAAAAATCTGAGCAAAGTCCCAAACATTTCCAAACCAATAAAGTTAGAATCTGTCCTAATAAGCAACAATCAATCAGCTTTCAACATAATCTATGGATTTCTAAGTCGATAAACATTTCTTTTTGATTATCTTCAACCATGAAAATTTAGAAGATGAGATGATGATGGAGCTGAATGAGTGGGTGCGGGCACGGCGGGGACCTGGTCCTGGCCGACCGATCCCGCTCGACAGTAAAATGAAAATAGAAAACTTCAAGGGTAATATGCCAGCATAACCCCCCCCCCAATACAAAAAAAAATTTTCTTCAGTTTTAAATATAATGGAAAAATTCAAAAATATGCTAGTGTTAAAACCACTACAAGGGATATGCTTATATATTAGATCAATTGACTTTTTTAATGGCTTTGTTTTTGTCAATATTAGCGACCTCATTATTCAATTTATTTGTACAATTGTGGGTAGATTTTGCATGGAAAAATGATGGGAGCGAAGGTAGGATTGAACCCACAACCACCCATAATATTAGAGCCGAGGGCACAGTCCCCTAAATTTACATAAATTAGCATTTATTATCACACAAAATATCACTGAATGAAGTAATTTCTATAATACAAATATCTTATAATTATTATCTAAGGAAAGATTTGACCCTCCTATACTTCCATAAAATCTCAAATTTTTTTACTTGAATCATCACTTTATAATTTCATTTTTAACTACTGTATTATTATTTCAAATAAACCATTTATTTATCCATTGCTTTCAGAAAATTTAATTTAATTTGATTGTATTATTTAGCAATATTTTTTATCTCTTTTACTTCTTTCTTTTATTGGTGTAGGAAGCATTCAAAATTAAATTTCCCAATTTAAAAAAACCCCTTACCACATTTTTTTTCAATAAATTTTTGTCGAATCTTAAAATGCTTCCATTATAAAATATGTCTGCTTTGTACATAGGCCGATATCCTTTTGGATGAAATCCAAAGGTGTATTTACAACAAAGCCAACATTTTTTGCAATGGCTTACTTCTTCATTGAAATGGCTGTTAACAGAATAAGATCGTTTCTCTTTCAATTTCAACAGTGATATTGTACTTCTGCTCATTAGTTTGCTAGTTCTTTTACTCCTGAATTGTCTGAAGGAATGCGAAGCGCTAAAACTGGAATCTGTTTCTTTTACTTTAAACCTAAAAAAATTAATCAATTAAAAAAATACACCCAAGTTTAACCTACAAATCTCATTTAACTACTATTCTGTTTACTGAAAATTTCCAATAAACTTGCGAGCAGTAACTCCTTTTTCAGGTTCATTTTTATTGTCAACTTCAATTTCAATAGTAGGAGCTGGTCGTAAGAAAACAGCAGTAATCACATTCACGGACATCAACGCTAAACAAATTGATTATTTTAAGAAATCCTTTCTTACACCCTGTGTTTCAAAGGCTATGATTACCAGCGATGACTAAGTTCAAAGTTCTGTAATGAAAACAAGTAGTCAGGTATTCAAGTAAAAATGGAATTACTATCATTCCTATACCAGTCCCACACGTTGCAATACCAACTGCTAACGGTCTTTTAGTGTCAAACCACATACTTGGTGCTACAGACATCGGTAAGTACATTAACCCAAGGCCAATTCCTGTTAAGATTAAAAAATAATCTTACTTTTATTTTAATACGACATAAATGGTACATACCCCCTAATATCCCAAAAGTGAAATAATAGCCCAAGAAACCGAATAATGTGATGGCAAAATAAGACATTGCAAATCCCAAACAGGATATGACAGAACCGATTATCATAACAGTCCTGAATCCGATTGCATTGCACAAACTGCTAGAGAGAGGTGCTGAAAAAATATGGAATATTAAACAAATTTGTCTAGTTGGGCATTATTGACTTATTTTTAAAGAGTTTTTAATAAACTAAGCAAAACGCTATATAGATGTTCTAACCCAATTCAGTTAATTACAGTTATACATAAACACGTGTACAGAGTTGAACATATGGCTTCTTACAGTCCATTGGCAATTCCATTTTTCATAATTTACAATAAATTACTGGCAAGCCTCGAGAATGACTCATCGCAGGTGATGGTAGTCAGGGTTAGACCTCAGCCTTTTTCGTTAGTCTGCCGAGGTTGGGCTCAAGGGGCTATCAACAGCTAGGTCAATTCAGCCCCCAACACAATCACTTCCAAAATCCAAACCCATTCACACTCTCTTTATGTGTATTTATTTACATTCTTTCTTTTTTTACTCACTCACTTGGTGGTGGAGTATTTGATTTTCCTCCATCACCCTTTAATATTGTGTACCCTAGTGTGTGTTGAGGGTGAATGTATTTATTAGCGTGAATGTGTTGTGTGAGAGGGTCATGGCCAAATATTGAATACTCCATCGACCCTTCTCACACAACACATTCACACTAATAAATACATTCACCATCAACACACACTAGGGTACACAACAAAATCAGCACTATGTACAGTAAAACAACCCAGGCTCTTCCAAAAATCGGGACAGGGGACCCAGATATTCACTTCTGAGCTCAATAAAATAAATAAACTTGTAAAAAATTCCAAATGTCTATTTTTTAAAATGGTTTTCGAGCACAATTAGAATACATAAAATGAAACTTTTTCTTTTAACAACCTCGACCTCTTGGGTGATAATGACTCCATGTCTCGATGAGGTGACACTACATCCCATAGGCACTATGCTTTAGTTTAGCCAAAAGAATTTAAGACCAACAAGAGGTGCCATCTTCATGCCAGGAGGACTTTGTCACAATTCACTGGACTTTGCATGTGCCCAGCTTCAATCATCAATTTTGGTGGGGTGGAAGGAATAATAACAATAATACTAAACAAAATAAACTTACTACAGCTGAATGAAAGTAAAATAGCCCTAAGTGTCAATAGACTAGCTCAATCTCTTAAGAGATCTCTCAACTATAATCTCTGCAAATGACATTATTTCCAGAAATGATTATTTGTAGGTTGTGAGATGCGGTCTGGTGTGATGTATGTTTTAGAAAAGCATTTTTTTATCGTGCCGACATTTCGATCTTTATTGAGATCTTCAGGGCCTGGGATTTATAAACATTGTTTAAATTTTACAAATACATATAGGGTGTCAAAATTGAAATGAATTTACAATGCTAGAAAATTTTATTAAAAAAAAAAAAAGATCTCAATAAAGATGGAAATTAATTAAGGTTTTTAGTTGAGATAAAAATGTCAATGGCACGAGCGAGATTCAAACCCACAATCTTCGGCTAGATACGCCACCGCTCAACCACTTGAGCTATCGTAACCTCAATCCACTCAGACCTAACTTCCCATCTCAACCCCACCATTTGAATTTCCCCTCCTTTTTGCCATTTTTCAAATGTCGTGTAATCTATTTGATTCTCGGCGACAATTGAAATGGCCACGGAAATTCAAAAGGTGGGGTTGAGATGGGAAGTTAGTGTCCGAGTGGATCGAGGTCACGATAGNGACTTTTTCATCTTAACTAAAAACCTTAATTAATTGTAATATATTAATTGGTCAAGCGGACCACGAAATTACTGAATTTAAAAAGATGGAAATGTTGGCACAATAAAGAAAATATTTTTCTAATGCCTACATCATGCCATACTGCATCTCATGACCTCCAAACAATCTCAAGAAACGGTCTCTAAACGCCAAACGTTTCCAGAAATGTTGGAACAAGGAAACTGTTGGACAAGTGGATTGGAATGAAGGTTTAATTTTTGACGGATGATTTTATACTTTTGAAAATAATGTCAATTAAAAATGGGACATGAAGAGGACAATCGGAATTAGAACAATTACAAAAAAAAAAAAATGTGTGACAAGCTATTCAAAATTACAGTTCAGAGATCCAAAGTGTAGTTCGTATTATCCCAATCAAATCTAAATAATACTGAAAAATCTTAGCTATGCTAAAATTGAATTGAGATGTATAAAAGAAATTGTTGTCACTTTGTAAGTAGATTGTTTTAAGTCATCAAGCATAATCTCTCTGGTTTCGTCTGATATTCAAGTCTCTGAATTATGCTTCAATTGGCTGGTCATGTGACGGACAAAATTAGTGAGAACAGTTCGACCAGGATGAGCATGCTATAAGTTCATCACCAAGCATACCATAATTTATGAACATATTGCGCTATTACCAATAATCTAAATATATTATTTATTTAAACCCATCAAGCTAATAAATTACATACCAATTAACATGGATAAACTATTTATCGTTGCTATAGATAAAGCGCAGTTGCTTTCAGTCAGGCCATCCTTAATTAAACCTGGCATCAATATATAAAACGTATATGCTATTCCATCAACGGTAAAAACGCCAATAAAAGTGATAGCAACGATAACCCAGCCATATCCTCCGTCAATTGAAATTGGCAAAACTGTGCTGAACTTTTTGTGAAATAATTTAGATGAACCTTGATTAAGAAGAAAACTCCAAACTCTTTGTAATAATAAACCCATAACAAACGATTTCTTCGATTCATCACTTTCCTAAAATAGAAAATTAATTAATTTTATTTTTGTATTGAACTACTAATTTGTATAGCTAATGTGTAATTTATTCATCGTGAACGGAAATTATTTTTTTAATAATTCACTTGAAATATTATTTCAGTTTAATATTGCTTTATTTCATTAAAATAAATAAGTACATAATACCTTTATTAATATTTTTTAATAGATAGATTAAAAGGTAGAATCTCAGGGGTAAAAAAAAATGCTTATTTTAAAAGTATATATTATATTTTCTACCAGGTAACTAAATGGAATACACCTCATTCTCTTAAATAGATAATAAACTTTAAAATACATATGTATAGTTTTTCTTTTTAATCAAAAATTGCTGTTCACAATCAAAATTTGGCAAACAATTATTAACATCTTATTGTCAAATAATCGTGAAACTTTACATTGCACTTAACTTCAATAATTTATACAACATTATACACTATAAATATTCATATATATATTTCCTTTATTTTTTATTATTACTTTCAAATATTACCATTTAATACTGAATAAAAAGAATGTTTTATATTTCTGTTTAATTAATAATTTGAAACATGTAAATATTATTTGTTTTGAATTTCAAGAGAGAGAAGAAAAAAGTTAAAAATATATATAATCAATCATTAAATATAACTTTAACAATTTATTAGCTTCATTTTAGACTGTCCAGTTTAACAATGCATTTCCTCATAGAATATGTCTTATTTACAGCTTTAAAAAACAAAAAACAATTTCAAATTTCATAAAGTTCAAAATAATTAAAACGAAGATACAGAGAACTGTGATAACTGTAAATTTTTAAAATGATACAATAATAAGACCATTTTAATTTACATGTTGGTCGTTTTCTTTTTCCTAAAGAAGTTTGATAATACATTTGGTTTTTTGTCCTTACGGATTTCTTTGGTGGAAGAAAGGTGTTCATTTTCACTTGAGCTCTCACTTTGTCTTCGAGATGAATCGTTACTCGGCGATGTTCCACCCCCACTTATTGTCGGTAGCGTCGAAGAACGGTTTGTACCATAAGTGTTATTCTTTAACAAACAAAATTAATAAATTATTTATCTATAAATCTATCTATTGAAAAAAAAAAATTATGTTGAAATATTATGCGAGCAAATAGGCGTGGCTGGAACATTTCTTACATAGGACCCTTTTCAACCCTAACTCCTGCTAAAGATACGCCTTTCTGAGTATCTATATGAAGCCACTGGCCATAAGTGCCAATGAGGTGTTAGCGATGCGGGGAGCTAAACCAACAGCAACCTGAAATGCCCCTCCTGGTTACTTCTCTCCTACATCGTATGGTGGGATTTGGCAAAATTAACATATTTTAAAAAAGTGTACATGTTAGGTAAAATTAAAACATTGCCATTCCCTCCTGCCACAAATGGAACTAAACACCATATCCTTAGTACTGAGCATGATCAACAATAAAAACCACAGCTTGTTACGTGCCAACTCAGTTCCAGGCTCTCAGGAGAAAAGACTCCATGGACAAAAAATAAGAGACCAGGGAGTCCCGTGACAAAAGTATACCTCATAAGGGCGAGAACCCCTCCAAATATGGTCTCTGAAAGACAGTGAACAAAGGCAGGTGCACTCAAGGTTAGAATCTCTAAAAGCATGAAAAAGGGAAAGTCAGGTGAGGAAAACAGGAGGTCAGAAAAATATCTGTGTAAATAATACTGGCACAGGACTTATTCGGGCACTTTCGTTAATGTGGAAGATTTTATATATTTAATTTAATTGATAATTGCCAATGCTACTCGCCTTGACTCAGGTCTACAAGACATGGATAGAGGCACTACAGGTAATAGCAGGTATCCTTCCAATTGACATATATAAGAAATAAGACCTGAGCCAAAAATCGTGATAAGCTCGATAGATGAAGCTCAGGAGTGGGTTTACTTGGAATGGCAACATATGTAGGAAACATCAAGCAAGGGCAGAAACACATGCAGGATCCTCCATATAGACTATGTCTTACAGATGCTAACAGGCCACGGGTGACTTAGCCGATAAGCTAAACAGCTTTTGAATGGAGTCTCCCCTTTGCCACTGTGGGGTGGATGAGACAACAGAACACGTCTACCTGCAATGCCCAAATTTTGATTATTTAAGGCAATTTTTTGATAGACCATCCTAATTTTGTAGAACTCCATAATAAGTTGATGGGTAGGAAATAAACTGTATTTTCCACAATAGGCGTAATACTGCTGATCTTAATTTGTTGAGTTTTTTACACATGTTATGATTTTTGATGTAATATGTGGCGATTAGTCGATTATTCAGAAATGGTGAGATGCGGTTTGGTGTGATGTAGGTTTCAGAAAAACATTTTCTTTATCGTGCCAACATTTCAATCTTTATTGAAATTACAATTAATTAAGGCTTTTAGTTGAGATGAAAAAATGCTAATGGCACGAGAGGGATTCGAACCCACGACCTTCGGCTAGATACGCCGCTGCTCTACCACCTGAGCTATCATGACCTCGATCCACTCGGACATCAACTTCCCATCTCAACCCCACCTTATGAGTTTTCCCTCCTTTTGCCATTTTTTCATTTTTTTTTAAATTGGTCAAGCGGACCACGAAATTAGTGAATTTAATGAATTAAAATGAAGTACACTTCACTAAAGCTCTCCGTCGCCATTTCAATTGTCGTCGAGAATCCAAACCGATTACATGACATTTGAAAAATGGCAAAAGGAGGGAAAACTCATAAGGTGGGGTTGAGATGGGAAGTTGATGTCCGAGTGGATCGAGGTCANGCTACTGCGGTCCCCCCTGGGATTTACAAACATTGTTTACATTTAACAAATACATGTAGGATGTGGAAAAAAGTGAAAAAATGTTTGATGTTAATGTTTCCTACTCTTTCATGTACCAAATCATCCAAATTTACAAATTCTATGGGGTGCAATAATTGATGGAGATGTGAATTTAGAACATATAAGTAAAAATTTAATGAATCACTGGTATTTTAAAAAAACACAAAAAAAAACGCTGACTTTTGTTTCTTAACCATGTGTCGCAGGACTTGGTCGGTTGCACTCTTGGTGCATATTGTGAAAAAGACAATTTATTTACTACCAATCAACTAAATTATGGCAAAATTGGATAAGAAGCATTTGAGAAGAAGCAACAATAGACTCCTTTCCAAAGCCGGATCTAAAGATACAATTAGGGGGCGTCGGTGGCCGCAACGGTTTAGGCGTTAACACGGCGCTCATCACTATAAGGTAAAGGTCCCGGGTTCGAACCCAGCAGCCCTGCATTTGAACCCAACATACTTACGAAAAAAAAATACAATTACTTTCGCTAATACAATAATGGCCAGAAAAGGATGGCCCCGAGAAAATAAGAAAAAATAAGTGATAGTATTAGCATCATCATCCCAACCAGGCACCTCCCCTTGGTCCATCATGGACACAACCTATGATGAGGGGGCCCATTTGGATGAATAAGAAAACCCTGATAGCTCCAAATGGCAAAGGTACTCGTTAAAAACACCAGAAGTTCGTTTTAATTTATTATATTTTGTATTCCTTTCTGTTTCCACACCTAATCAGGTTCCCAGGGGGAAATGGTGACAATTGATTGAGGTAGTTTGGAAGAAGGTCAATTTGACATGATTCCCGGTTACATACGGATAGCAGGGAATGAAGAGGCAGGCAGGGCGGTCAAAGAAGCCGCCGGAAGACTTCACAATGCATACCAAGTTGTGAGGATTGCAGATTTAAAACTATTAATTTTAAATACAGTAAAAGGAGAATGGGATACCCCTGTGCTTGTAGAAAATAGAAATAACAGTGCCAAACTGGCAGGTTAAGAAAGTCATCAGTCCCTGTTCCACAGAGAATAAAAATGGGATAGGCCATACTGATAAGACTACATAGGTCATATAAGAATAACTAATGGGTACATTCACTGCGTAGGTGTCTGTTATGCAAGAATAAAATAACAGTCGAGCACCTTTTTAATTGTAGAAGGCTTGACATTTATAAGCAATATTTTTATAAATCATTGGACGTGTGCATAGTCTTGTGACATGGCGAGAGCACAGATCGTTGTTCCTGCAGCTTAGAACTGTAGGGATTTTTAAACGTATTTGCGTTGTTTATGCTGATTTATTGGAATTAATATAATTTATTAGTGTGAAAGGAATGGGTCGTTTAACTGCACCCCAAGGAATGTAAAGTTTTCTGGGGTGAGTGTGTGACATCTGGAGAGAAAAAATAAGTTATTAGCAAGATTAGAGTGGATATGATCAATCCCCGAGGAATATGGAGAACCCTGGGAGTGAATGTGACAGACTTCTATGTTAGTATAGGGTGATGATGACTATGTCTGCAGTTGACAACCTGAGGTACAAATGATAGGTTAGCATTTTAGGATTTCAGCTTAGTTTTCATACAAATGCAGAGAGTAACAGAGCAAGACACTCAAATAGCTGCAGTTTAAAACAAAACACACATGCAAGACCAGGAAAAAAGTGCGAACACGCAGAGGCTGGCGAAGAATTCAGCTATTCGTTGGCCCCTAAATTTCCCACATTATTTATATTATGCATTCAAAAAAGCTTTCAACTTAAAAAAAAGTTTATTCGGTTAAACGTTTCTTGGTACGATTACTAGTAACATTAATAAAATTTTAACAATTTGTACTTTTCATCATTGAATTGATATTAAAAGCGACAACTTGACCTTACAAATTATCATAACAGAATCAAAATGTTAGGTTTTTTTATTTTAATGTATACTAGAACCAATAAAAAATTTATAGAGTATTATAAACATGATGAATAGAAATGTTAAATGACGTGTACAATTAGGGCTGAAATCATTCTTTAAATAATAAATGAGTATTGAAAGGAAAAATTGACAGAATTTCCAGTCTAATGTTTTGGTATTATGTTCATACTAAAAATGTTATAATATTAATTCATATTTGATGCTTAGCTATTCCATTCAGTCAAAATTTGATTTAATAATATAATTGACAATTAATAAATTTTAACTAACCTGCTTATTTCCCAGATTTGCGTAAACTGTAAAAAATAAACATTATTAAAATCTTTTTCACCCAAAATCGTAAACAATAAACTAACACAAGATATGAAATAACAATTATTTATGACAGCTGTTTGTTTTATTTTATTTTTATTTATAGAAAACTTTCAAAACTGACCTGTTCCATGTCGGTAACTGGTGGCATCATTTGGCCATGGTTCTCTAGCAGGAGGTCCAAGAGGTCTATTAGGAGGGGCTGTGGCAGGTAATGGTGGAGGAATTTCTACAATAATTGAGCATGAAAATGCATAAAAATAAAAATAGGAGAGCAAAGCCAAAGAGCCAAATAAAAATGGATAAAGCGGAATGAACAGCTCAAAAATTTCATTTGGTTTACAAACCTTGTGGTGAATAATCCACATTTCCAAGTGAGGAGTTTCTCCAATCAGCCAGGTTTCCATTTTGGTTTGAATTTGTATGAGGCATCGGTTGTAAAGACCTTGGCCTGCCGCCCGTGGGGGCTACTTCTACAAATTGTTATTGTGTAAAGTTGTTATTTGGAAAGGGAATTAAATTCAAGTCTTACCGTGGTTTGGTTTTATTCCCTCGACTGATGGCATCCTAACAGGTATTGGTGGGGGAGCCCCACGAGGAGGAATCGGCGGTTTCAGTCTCCTCACCAAATCAGGTGTCGAACCTTGACTTGACCCAGAACTCTCTTCCGGCCCGACTGGAGCGAGTCTGTCAATTCCAGGAGAGTTATTCTGAAATAAATGTGCCGTTACGCATCTTCATCTTTAGACAGAAAACTCATTTATTACTCACTTTACGACTTTCGTCATAACTCATCAACTGTAAGCTCGGTGGCAATTGGGCGTGAAACGTTATTTTGTTCACCCAATCTTCCAAATCAGCCGCACTGGGGGCAAGGAAAAGAAATTCCGATCCATCGGTACAACACAACCTATAAAATTAAACATTAAGCGATCCAATGGACATAATGTAAATTTAAATTAAAACTTACCTGAAGACATGTTTTCTCTTCGTGTAGTTATCAGCTTTCTCACATTTTGCATTTAGAATAATAATGGGAGATGTCGCAGCTTTACTGGCAACAAAATCATCTTGGTCTTTAAAGAAGCAAAGTAGTTGTCCACAAAGCACTGTAAAAATAATTGAGTTAATAACTGAATTATTTACTAAATTATAACATTGTAAAACTCTCTTAAATTTAATTATCAGGATTGTAGGCTTGGCCATGGGGGATTGTGCTCCCCTGGCACAGCACAAATATTTAATATATATTTCACTACTATTAATAACTTTACAATTAATTAAGGTTTTTAGTTGAGATGAAAAAAGTTAATGGCACGAGAGGGATTTGAACCCACGACCTTCGGCTAGATACGCCGCTGCTCTACCACCTGAGCTATTGTGACCTCGATCCACTCGGACATCAACTCCCCATCTCAACCCCACCTTATGAGTTTTCCCTCCACTAAGATGGGGAGTTGATGTCCGAGTGGATCGAGGTCACGATAGCTCAGGTGGTAGAGCAGTGGCGTATATAGCCGAAGGTCGTGGGTTCGAATCCTTCTCGTGCCATTAACTTTTTTCATCTCGACTAAAAACCTTAATTAATTGTAAAGTAGTAACTGGTCAAGCAGACCACGAAATTAGTGAATTTAACTATTAATAACGTCTTGTATTTTAAAGACAACATCCTTCCTGCTATACTTGATTGATAATTTTTCATTGCCCTGTTATAACAATAAATTAACCATTTGGAGCTTTGTACTGTCCTCAATATTGAGAAAGGTAGATGCAAATTTGCTATTTTATTCAGATTTTATTATAATCATTATTATAATTCATAATGAAAAATAACATGTCTCCAACAAATGGCACTAATTCTGTACATCTGTTATGGCTTCAGCATCTGTCAGCAGTACTGTGCAGCATCAAAGCTCAGTTTTCTCTGATTTTGTATGCTACAAATGGAGGCCCTACCTTATTAGGCTGCTACACGCCTCAATATACACCTAACTCATATTCATTCTTGAATTCTTTCCTTCATGTACATTCATGTTTAAAAAACACTTACCAGTGTAAAAACTCTTCCAGGATCGCAAAGCAGCTTTCTTTCCTCCGCTTTGTAGCTCGTGCTTTCTGTCGAGTACACCCTCAATCTCAACGGGTGGCAGTTGGTCAAGTTGATCCGAGCCGAATTTCTGATGTTTTCTGAAACTCTGTGTCCTCCTCCTTGTAGTGAAGGATGGCGTCCTCTTTGGTTTTTTAAGATCAGCCTTCATACTTTCCGCTCTTTTAACATCGCCTGATTTTATAATAACAATTAACATCGTTCTACTCTATAAGAACTATTTAAAAAGTGATAAATTTTATACCTTTCTTCAGTTTATCAACAAAGAGTGATGATATACTTCCAGATTTTTGTATGGAGTTGGGAGACGCTTGAGGCATTAACCTAAAGTAATGATTATTGTAAATATATTTATATTAACAATTAATTTTGATATACCTATATATGTTACAAAAGGCAATTTACTTATACAAGGTTTCTTATAAAGAACAAACCTATTAATACTGGCAGATGAAAGGGTTTTGGTTATGTCAGTCTGCAATTCAGGGTTGCTTCGTCCTTCCTCGAATATTGAACTTGAGAAAGGCCAGTTCCCTGGCTCAATCACCAAATCATGCTTCACTTCAATTAAGCTAAACGTGCAAACATGCAATGTAAATAATGTTTTATGTTAATTTTAATTTTCTTTTCTCTTTAATTTTAGTTAAATGTTAATATTTGGCAAAATATAAGCATAAATCTACATGTTAATAGCTTACCTAGTACAAACAATTTGAAGGCTAAAGAAAAACATTCAACACTATTTAAATGCGATTAGAAATTTTTGTTCAATTTAATACAAAGAAGGAAATGATGAAATATTAATATTTAAAGAGGAATTCAACATTTTAAAAACGCCATGCTACAATTTTTTTTTTACAACTTATTATTTTACAGAATCGATTTTTACCTCGCGTTTTTCCCAGGAGATTCTGGACCACCATTAATTTCATGTCTTCTCCTTTCATCTTCCTTCCTTCGCTCCTGAAATAGTAAAACACCAATTATTAGTTATTATTATGTGACAGGTAGATAGTTTTTTAGGGGAAAAACTCACATCTGATAGTCTTTGAACTTCTTTCCTTTTCCTCGCTTCAATTCTTTCTTTTTCAACTCTTTCCCTTTCAGCTTGTCTTGCTGAAGCCTCGGCCTCTTGTTGTCTGTGAAAAGCTTGCTCGAGCTAAAAATGAAAGCAATGTTACAAATGAATGTTACTAACTTTAAACTGAATGGTATAGCGTATGTTTATATATGTATACCAAAGTGATTCGTCGAAGTGCATTAAACTTGTCTCCCTGCGCTTCGATGGTTTTTTCAAAATCTTCGTGTTTACGGATTAATTCCTCAACTTGTGCTATTGAGTCTCCATATTTTTCATCGTGCAATATCGGCTCTCTTGCATTAATCCAGTTTTCTAATAAGTTTGCTTCTTTCATAAACACCTTAAAAATAGAATAAATAGTCTCAGAGTTGAAACACATTTGCGAAGAAGAGAATTAAAACTGAGATTACTTGAGTATCAAGGCTGAGGTCGTAAATGATTTTACGTCGCTCCCATGTTTCGTTGAGAAGCTGCTTTCGTTGCTCCAGAATCCTAATTTTGTCCAAGATGTCATTAGAAAGAAAATGACCCTGTTTCACAAGAGCATTTCCCGTCGTGTAGAATTGTATGAAAGCCTCTTCCCGGCTGTCGATCTCAGCCCTGTGCTCCATGTGTCGTGAAATCAGTGCTTCAGCACCCGAAACATCTTGGGCTAATTCTGGTGACGTGACTTTGGCTATCATCTCACTTATCCATGCCCTAACATTTATCAGTGTAAAAATAATTTGTTTAAATTAATTTATGTGAGTTTAAAAGTAAAGTTACATTAGATCTCTAGACAGGTCAAAGTAGCTTTGAAGCTGTTCGGCTTCTTGTAGATGCTTCCTCCTTTGTTCAGTCTTTTCAAAAAGCTGTGTCCAAGCATCCGTCACCTCTTCGTGTTTGACTTCAATATGCTCTCTCGCATCTGGGAATAAGCCTGACAGTCTTCCTCCTTCTTCAACAACACTTTCAACCTGATTCAAAATAATTACAAATTATTTAAGACATCATCGTCAAAGTAAAACACTTTTAAAAGAATTACTTGTTCTTTTACTGCAGCAAGATCAGTTAGAAACACTTCGTGCTTTCTGACTAAAGCTTGAATCGATTCTAAATCTTGACCAAAACCCTCAGTTGATAGGCTTGAGTCTTTTTCCTGTATCCAGCTAATTGTTTCATCTGCTGTACGGTCAAATACATGTACTTGTTTAGCACCTGCCAGTGCCTAAAAATTATTCGATTAATAAATAATATTTCAATTAGTAGTAGAAATAATTTCTGCTTTAATTATTATATCAATCCATATATGTTTAGATGTCATAATTGACCATATTGATTATTTCAATTAGTAATACATTTAATCTAAGGTTTTGGTCGAGATGAAAAAGTTAGTGCTATGAGCAGGATTCGAACTCACAACCTTCAGCTCAAAATGCCACTACTCTAACCACTAAAACTGTTGTGACTTTAATCCACGTGGAGAGCAACTCCTCATCTCAATCTACAACCTTTTGAATTGTACTTTCTGCCATATTTTCAAATAATTTGTAATCATGATTCGATTCTTGGTGTTTTTTTTTTTTGTTTTTTTAACAAGGGTTCGCAACAGCAGAGGTTATATCAACCCTCGGGGTGCTGGTGTTTTTGAAAAAAAAGCCCATTTGTAAGAATGTCAGGTTCGAATGCAGGGCCGCTGGATTCGAACTCAGGACCTCGACCTTACAATGATGAGTGCCGTGTCAACGCCTACACCGTTGCGGCCACCGACACCCCTCTTGGTGATTTATAAAATGGCCGCAGGGAGCTGTTATTGAAATAATTACTTCTGTTATAATTACATTAATGTATTATATGTTCAGAGCCATACTGATTATTTCAATTATTACTGCTAAACATATACGGATTAATAAATAATATATTGGAAAATATATATTTAATGGTATTACATCATGGCGAGCGTGTGCGAGTTCTTTGAGATCATCCCATAGTTGTTGAGTTTCTTCCATTTTAGCTTTTATTTTGTCCGATTCTGGGTTTTCTTCTGAAATTAATGCCTCTCCAGACTGTAAACAGTTTGTGACTCGGCCTTCACTCGAGGACAGAGCACTAAGAACATTGTCAAATCTCTGAAAAATTATTATTATAAGCAATAATTTGACGACTCATATTTTTAATCTAAATTACTTGAATCAAAAGTTCAACATGTTCAACATCCCGGCCATAATCTTCTGATGCAGCTATAGCAGTCTGGTCGCTTATCCATTCTGCAACTTCCTCCGCTTCTCTCAAAAACCTGAAGTACTTACGACTTTCTACAAGAAGCCATTCTCTCTCTTTATAAAGCGCTTCAATTTCTTTTAGTTTATTCTCTATTTCAATCTGTAAAAAATACATATTACATTAAAGACATTTCAACAAATCAGCAAAAATATAAAGTACCTGTTTGTTTTCAATGTTAACACTGTCAAAATGGTTTCTGTCCAAAAGACCATGGGATAGATTTGCAAGTCTGCCGACGGTTTGATGAAAGGACATGATTTCACGGCCAATCCCTTCTAATTTTTTGAGAAGAGACTGAACAGAGTCTTCATCTTTTCCGCGATCACTCGACGTAAGTAAAGGTTTTTTCTCTTTAAGCCAAGCTTCCGCTTCACTTGCCTCTACATAAAACTAAAACCCAAAAATGGTAAATAATAAATCTTCATTTTATGTTGATGCAATTACCATTTGTGATTCGACAGCATCAAGAAGGCGACCTTTTCGTTCTTTAGAAAGATTTTTGATTTTGGCTACTTGCTCGCAAAGATCATTGTAGGCTGTCTCAATTCGGTTAGCGGCGAAATGTCCACTTCTTACCATTTGCTGCGCTCTGTTCTCTAATGATGCGACAACCTGTTCTCTCGATGCAATTTCAGCTTCCAATACCTAAAGAGTTTCATAAGTAAGTCATTAACGTCGATGTTAATCTACGCTGCAATGTACCTGGTGTTTTTTCTGTAAACTCTGGACTGCATTTAAACTGTTTCCAAGATCCACTGATGCTGCGAGTGGTTCTTTTTCTGTAAACCATTGCATTTCATCTTCAATGTCTCTTAGAAGCTGATGAAGGAGTAGGGCATCTTCCAAGTTGTCCCTTCTAATTTGCATTGGCTCTTGAAGAGAACGATATCTAAAAATTATAATAAACCCCACTTCTTAATTTTTATTTTTATGGTTGTATGAACGTTGCGTATTAGACAAGGAACATTTTTTTTTTTGGAGGGGTAAGGAAGGGTTGCATGAAAAAAGGACCAGGGGCTATGGTGGGAATCAACCCCACGATCACAAGGTCTAGAGCCGAGAGTCTATCAAGCTCACTTGGCTACCATGATCACCCAAAAGATACAAAACTATACTTAAAGCTATAATTAGATGAATGCAGAGAAAATCAGTAATCAAACAAATACCTTTCAATCACGGCTTTAGCCCTTTCTTGAATTTCCTCTTTCATAAAATGGTTAGATCTTTGGAATGCCGAAGCTGTATCTTTAAGTTGGTTGAACGCATCACCATGACCAGTCACATCGTTTTCTAAAAGGGTGTGACGCTTCAACAAGTTTTTAATGCTTATAAGATCTTTTCCATGGTCTTCGCTTGTCAGTTGGCCTTCTATGTCATCAATCCAAGTTTCAAGTTCTTCGAGGGTTCGGCTGAACAAAAGTGCCTGAAAATAATTATTTATGTGACCGTATACTTAAATGTACGAGAAAAAGTTTAATTTTTAATGAAATTACTTGGTAAGCTTCGTTTAATCTATCTTTTTTAATCATACTGGTTTCTTGAAGACATCTCCATTCAGATTCTAATTCATCGAGTTTACTCTGGATTTCAGCAGATGCGAAATGGTTTTCGCGGATTAAATTTTCACCTTCGTTACTAACTCCACTGACTCTTCCTTTGTTTGCGACAAGTTCAGCTTCGAAGGCGATGTGTTTTTGAATTTTGCTCTGAAGGTTGCTAGAATCCCTGTAGCTTTCATCGCCAGCGACTTGCTGCTTTTGAACCAACCAGCTTTCCACCTCGTAGACATTTCTTAAGAACTGGTGAAGCTTCTTAGACTCTTGCAATCTCTTTCTTCTCAGCATTGTATTCTCTTTAAGTTTATCTCTCCTTGTAGTTAGCGCTTGAAGAATTTGCATGATTACATTTGCAGCGTAATGATCGTCCGATAAAACCTCTTTTCCTAGTTTTTCAACATCGTCAACCCTGCTAAGCTGTGAGTCAACCGTTTTTTCAAATGCTTCATGCTTCATTATCAATTCTTCCACGCTTGCTAATGTATCCTACAAGTAACAATTCAATTATTTTTTTATATATCAATATTAATAAATCTTGTAAATAAATAACATTCAATTAATTAAGGTTTTAAATTGAGATAAAAATGTCAGTGTCATGAGTGGGATTCAAACCCACGACCTTCGGCTTGATACGCCGCTACTCTACCACTTGAGCTATCGTGACTTCGATCCCCTCGAGCACTAATTTCCCACCTCAACCCCACCTTTTGAATTTTCCCTCCTTTTTGCCATTTTTCAAAATTCAAAAGGTGGGGTTGAGGTGGGAAGTTAGTGCCCGAGGGGATCAAAGTCTCGATAGCTCAAGTGGGAGAGTAGCGGCGTATCAAGCTGAAGGTCATGGGTTTGAATCCCGCTCATGATACTGACTTTTTTATCTCAACTTAAAACCTTAATTAATTGAATGTTATTAATTGGTCAAGCAGACCACGAAAAATAATGAACTTGTAAATAAAACAAATCCTACCCCCAAATCATCATTATTAAGAAAAGCTTCCTTTGATGCGAGCCAGCTGTCTACTTGATCTGCTTGCTGCTTGAATAATTGTAATTGTTGAGCTTGGGCCAATTTCTGTCTGCGATCCTCCCAAGCAGCTGCGAGCGTACGGCGGAGTTCTTCCAACTTGGCTAAATCATCTTCATGTGGTGGATTCAGACGAAGACCTGCTTCTTTCAGTGTCTTAAAAATCTCTTGTCTTCCATCTATTTCAGCCTAAACATTAGTGATAAAGCATTAATAATCAATTCTGTTAAAAATGAATTAAACTGAAACCGTCATGTAATACTTTTCTTTCGTCGTGCATCTCTAGCATAAGATGCGCTTCAGCAACATTAGTAGGTAATTCAGATGAACCCATCCTTTTGATAGTGTCTGCAACCCAAATTTGGAGTTCCTTGAGTTCAGCTTGGAACTTATGACTAGTATAAGCAGAATTGAGCGCATCTCTCCTCCTGTTTTTCAAAGACTGCAAGTTATGCCAGTTGTCCTGAAGCTCAGTCAGTTTGTTCCTAATTGGAGTCGACATGTCCGGGTATTTGCTTACTAACCTTCTGCATTCTACATCGTGCTCCTTTAAAATAAAGAAAATATTAAATAAGATTTGTTCTAAAATGCAATGATGTTAACATCTATACTTACTTTTAATTTACCATCAATTGCGGTCATATCTCTTTCAAGAGCATCTTGCTTTCTTCGAAGATGTTCAACAGCATTCAAATCTTTTCCTAAATCATCAGATGTCATTGCTAAAGCTTTTTCAGAAACTCTCTGTGATGTATCGTCAACGTCTCTATTAAAAGAATGTATTTCTAAAGCACCAGCCAGATGCTCTCTGTATTCGCTCAATGCTCCTTGAAGACCTCGCCATCTATAAATGCCATTTTTAAATTTTATACATGCCCTTAGAAGTTAACTTAAAAAATTAAAATTAAAAAGCTGAACGAAAAGAAAGAAGGACACAATTCTGCAATCCACCTCAAAAATCCACCAATCGAAGGAATTATGAACCTAGTTCAAATTTTCAATGATTGCTTCAGGAATGATTACTTTCCTTCAACTTGAAAAACAGCAGAATTAACAGCCAGGCAAAAAGCAATAATTTAGATGAGAACTAATGCCCAATCAGCCTCCTTTGACATTTTTGAACCAGGCTGAAACCGTTCAATAAAGACATCATTTCTCGACATACGTTTGGATTTACACAAAACCACTCAGCCCAACATCAGATTTTCAAACTTGCTGCAGATATCGTAAAAGGAATTTGCAACTTAAACATTACACTCTGTGCACTTCTAAATTTGCAGAAAGCTTTCGAGTTGGCACTTAGGCTTAAAATTCAAGTAAAAATTATGAAACTTTCAGAAGATGTTCCTTATCTTCATTTCTCGATAACATGTCATTCTATGTTAAAATTAAAGAGCATACCTCAGTGACAAAGCAAATTAAAGCAAGCACTCCTCAGGGCTCCATCCTTTCTCTTAAACTTTTTTATTTTTTACATAAGTGACCTTCCTAACCACAGAGGTTGTCAGCTAGTGAAGTTTGCAAATGTCACCATAATATATGCCAAAGACGATAATATAGTGGCATCTAAGGCCTATGTGTAGAATGTGCTCATGAATGTATTCAATTGAATCGTACATGGAAGGAGGGAAAATCACCATAAATATGAAGCAAACATGTTTTCATGGTCCCCAGAATTAATCACCATCAACAAAAACATCTTGTGAATGATAAAAAAAGCTGAAATATCCTGGCATCCATTTCCAAACACATAATGAAAAAAGTACCTGAAGGATATGCTAAAGCACTGATTCTCTACCTATTGTTAAATATGAAAAAAAAATCTGAAAAAAATGAGGTATAGGAAACTGCAGCAACGTAAAAATAGTGTTCAAGCACTGCAAAAAAATCTCAGAATGATAGTGGATGCTCTGCAGAATGTGAGGAATTCTCAAAATCATCAAGAATTAAACTTCCCTTCAAAAATGTATTACGACCAAATTCAATAAGTTCCACACTAACCTCACGTAAAAAACACGATTCACTTCAACCTGGGACAAAAGGTGAAGGACTGGCTCAAACCCCTGTTTGCTTCAAGATGTTCTCAAGTTATGACTGCTATGAATTCATTCAAATCAAAAAGTTAAATCATGAAATTGATTTATAAATGTGATAACTTTTCCCTGTGATACCTTTATTTATTTATTATTTTACATATCACTTGAAAAACCTATGTGGTTGGTTGAACTCGTTAATTTCTTACAATAATTAAAAATAAATAAATTATACACTACTAATTTAACAAATATAATAGATTTGTTTATTACTTGTTATTGAAATGGTCTCTCTTTTGCTGAACTGCTCTTGTATCACTTCTACCTTGCCTGATTAGTTTATCGGCGAGAGCATTGATTGATTTAATCCTAGTGTCATCGACACGCATGTCGCTGTCGACGTCGTCCAATTTTCGTTGGAGAGCTAAACAGTGTTCATAATCTCTGCCCATATCACCGGCTTGTACCATCATTTCCTAAAATACAAGTAAAAATCAAGTTTTACCAATTTTATGAAGTTCTGTATCATCACAAAACATACTTTATCTCTGATCCAAGCTTCGATCTTATCAAGCTGATTGTTGAATTCAAGAATATCTTGAGCTTCTTCCAGTCCTCTGCCTCTGTTCGCACTTTCTTTGAGCAAGCTGTTCCACAAGGCTGCCAGATGGTCAAGACTTTCTTGAATTTCCCGTGATGATTTGTGCTTTTTGGCCAAAAGTAGGTCTCCTTTAATTTAATTAAAAAATATTAAAGTGAGATCCAAAGGAAAAAGATATTAGCAATTATACCTTTTTCTTGTATAGCTGTGATTCTTCCTTTGTTAGCTGAAAGCTCAGCTTGGAAGGCTTGATGTTTTTGTAACTTTTTGATTTTGTCTTCTAAACTGCTCACCTCTGCTTTTGCTTCCATTTCAAGCTTCTTCAGTTTTTCTCCAATCCAGTGTTCAGCCTGAAAGTGTATCAATTATGAGGTTTAATAAAAACAATTTTTTTTGTTTTTTTTTGTGACGATACAAAAAGGTGACATACTTCAGCAACATCGCGGTTAAACTGAGCATGAAGTAACGCATTATCAAGTTTGTTTTTCTTGCTGTTGCACAAATCTCTTATTGCAGCTCTTCGGGCCATTACTTCTTGAAGCCTTTGTGCAATGATGTTTGCCTCGAAATGATTTTGAGCCAGCAATTTTGACGCATGTTCGTTAAGAAGGGCGACTTTGTCCTCCTGCGTAGCAAACAGTTTTTCAAAAGCATCATGCTTTTTGACATGAATGGATACTTCATCCACAGAATCGCCTGAAGAAAAAAAATTGGTAAAATGTAATAAAATAATACACTATATCAATTATCAGTTATTAAACTAATAATTATTATTTAATGGCTTGCTGAGAAAAATGTATGCTGAAGAATTTTAGTTTTGTCAAAAGTGGCAAAAGACAAGATTTTTGGAGGTTTCTAAAAAATGTATGTAACTATATGTTTCAATAATAATTTAATTTGTAGTTAGATCAGATTTGGTAATCTTTTTCTGTCTTTATAGCCGGCTTTGTCATTTTGCATCTTTAGAGTTTGTGTGACAGATAAGACCAGTAAAAATAATTACAATTAATTAAAGTTTTTAGTTTGAGAAAAAAAAAGTCAATGGCTTAAGCGGGATTCGAACCCACGATCTTCGGCTAGATACGCCGCTGCTCTACCACTTGAGCTATCGTGACCTCGATCCACTCGGACAATTGTCTGGGAAGGAATGAATTATTTTAGATAGTCGCCAAATGGTATAACTTTTGCTCTTCTTTAAAACTCTGAGCCATTCCAGCGTCTCGGGCTTTGACGTCAGTCATTATAGTCATTCGTAACTCATAAACTTCGTAACTCATAACTCATAACTTATAAACTTTAGAACCAGTAGGTTAGATGCACCCCCTCCATACCAAAGTGGANTCCGAGTGGATCAAGGTCACGATAGGTCAAGTGGTAGAGTAGCGGCGTATCTAGCCGAAGATCGTGGGTTCGAATCCTGCTCGTGCCATTGACTTGTTTATCTCAACTAAAAACCTTAATTAATTGTAATATATTAATTGGTCAAGCGGACCACGAAATTAGTGAATTTAAGTAAAAATAATTATAACAAGAATGAAAACTATGGGTTCATCACATAACAGACATCAACAAAATATCTCATCATAATTTAATTATTATATTGATCTATTAAACTTCTCTAAAAAATGGGGAAGTTGGAAGAAGTAGCTACGTTTTTTTTTTTTTTTTTCATGAATTCAATAAAAAGCTTTTTCACATTGAATGTATTTTGCCTGAATCCAAACTTTTTTGGCAGCTCTGTTGGTGCCGAACGCGTTTCTTAATACTGCATAATTTTATTCTTTGCCAAATAAAGACCTTTTGAAACTAAATCAATCAAAGTCATTAAAAGCAATACAATATTCATTGTCTGGGAAGGAATGAATTATTTTAGATAGTCGCCAAATGGTATAACTTTTATATTCATAACTTATAAACTTTAGATCCAGTAGGTTAGATGCACCCCCTCCATACCAAGTGGAAAACATTCATCAAATTCACATCAAAATGAAGAAAAAAAACTTGTAAAATTGTCTTTTGTTTTCCATACCGAAATCATTGTTAGAAAGAGCCACTTCTTGAGAATTGCACAATGTATCAATCTGTTTTGCATCTCTTAAGAAAAGATGAAGATCAATTTGTTGATCAAGGTGGACATTCTTGTGCTGGCAGACTGTGTGAAGCTTCTCTCTCTCTTCAAGAAGCTGATTGAACTTTTCTTGAATTTCCTATTTAAAAGAATAATAATTCCATTATTATTATTATTCATCTAATATTTTAAACAACTCCATAAAGTTTTGAGAAAATTACATGAGATGCGTAATGATTGTTTTGAATCATTTCATCAGCCAAATCCATAACTTGCCGGAAGCTGTCTTCTCTCGCTTCGATTTCAGCACAAAACCTTTTATGCTCTTCTTTAAAACTCTGAGCCATTCCAGCGTCTCGGGCTTTGACGTCAGTCATTATAGTCATTCGTAACTCATTCGCCCAACTCATCAAATCCCTGACCTAGAAAATAAAATATTTAAGTATTGTTGGAAAAACGATATCTGTGAAGGAACCTACCTGTGATAAAAATCGTTGATGATCACAGCTGGCTTGAAGTATTCTTTTCCTTAGATCAGATTGTTGTTTTAAATCTTCCCAACTAGCTATTAGGACTTCTTGTTTCTGTGCGATCTGATTGACATTGCTTCCTGGGTACAGAGCCTGGAGTCTCACTGCATCTTCAACAAGAACCTGGAGTCTGTCACCAAGTGCGACAAGGTCATTTTCAAACCCTTCGTGACGCCGGACAAGTGCTAGAGCTGAATTGAGGTCTCTTCCTAAGTCATCTCCAAGGACAGCTTTCTTGTCATTTATTCTTGATAAGGCATCAGCTACATCTCGATTGAACCTGTGTATTTCTCCAGCAGCAGTTAATCTCTGATCCCTTTTGTCAAGTGCAGTCATCAACTGTTGCCAATATTCCCTAAAGAAAAGAGTTAAAAAATATATAAATAATTTTTTTAACTTTTAAATTTATATAATAATTACCCTAAATGATACTGTCGTGATTCAATTTCTTCTGCATAAGGACTTTCATTTGTTACAAGTTTGGTCGCAAGGACTTTACACTGATTAAAACGTTCAGTTCCTGCATCAACCAGATGTTTCAAATCTTCAAATTTCTTTTGCAGATTCTGAAACATTAAAGGAAAAAACATTTAAAACAAATTTCCAGTGATGATCTTTTTATTTTTTATTTTTTTTAAATTGAAAGATGCATACAAGTAAGTGTTCATAGTCTTGTCCATAATCTTCCAAGCTGGCTGCTTGAAGTTGCTCTTTGATCCATTCTTCCAATTCAGTGCTTTCGCTAAAATATTCATGTCGGCACATACTTTCAACAAGGCGTTTTTGCCTTGTACTTGCCAACTTTTGCAGATTTCTCATCTGCTGCTGGATTGATGCTTGTTTGCTTGCAATCGCTTTACAGTCAGGATGTTTACTAACTACCATCGCATTCGATACTCTTCCCATTTCCGATATAATACCATTATATGTGTCAAGTTCAAGTTCTAAAGCCTAAAAATGTTTATTTTTAATTTTATTAGTTTGATTTATGATTTATAAACAAATACCTTGTGCTTAGTGAGAAGCTTTGAGGCAGCATCCCTGTCTCTGCCAAAATCTGAAGAGCTTAAAATATTATTCTTCTCTGAGAGCCAACTTTCAACTTCATTTGCTTCAGAAAAGAACTGTTGGGCTTTAAGCGAAAGCTCAAGCTTTTTAGCTCGGTCATGAGCCTTTTGTTTCAGGTCATCCCAAGCATCTTGCAGGCCTGTGCAGAGCGAAGCGACCTGCTTTGTCTCTGGGTGACTTTGATGTATTAAAGCGTTGCCGGATGCTAGAGTTTTTTCAATCATCGGCTGATGGCCTTCGATTTCTGCTTCCAATTTTTTGTGTTTTTTGAATAATGCTTGTGCTTGGTAAAGGTTACTGCCGAGAGTGTCTGATGAAGCCAACGGTAGGTGTTCTCTTATCCAACCTAACTCAGTCTCGAGTTCAAAGCCAAATTTATGAAACATGAGTGACTCTTCAAGAGCTTCTCGCCTCTTTCTGGCCGGTTCTTGAAGAGCGCTAAACCTAGAGACAAAAATGATCAATTGAAATAACGATTTTCAAACCAAAATCAATATTAAAACAAAAAATGAACTGACTTATCATAACACTTTTTACAATCTTTAATTATATTGTCGGCATCAAAATGCCCCTCATGAACCATTTCTTGGCCCAGAGAATTCAAATCTTTTATCTTCTGTTCCCATTGATTAATATCAGATTCAACTGCCTGAAAATGGTAAAATGATTATTTTTAATGTGACTTTTTTTTCTTTTTTTTTAAAAGACCTGTTGTAGCAATTGTTTTTACCTGATGTTTCTTAAGAAGTTGTTTGCAATTTCTCAAGTCAGATCCTAATTGATCAGATTGTAAGCAGCATTTGATCTCTTCAATCTTGATCTTCGCATCTTCCAGAGTTCTGTTGTAAGAATGTTGAGCCGCGGCTTGTCTCAGTCGCTTGCCCTTTTCCATGGAACATTTGACAAGAGCGTGCCATTTTGCGTTGAGCTCTTTAAGCAGTTGTTCAACTTCGGGCTTTCTGTAATTGCCTTCCGCTATCAACCTTTCACCGCCTTTGTTTATTGTACCGAAATCATTGTTAGAAAGAGCCACTTCTTGAGAATTGCACAATGTATCAATCTGTTTTGCATCTCTTAAGAAAAGATGAAGATCAATTTGTTGATCAAGGTGGACATTCTTGTGCTGGCAGACTGTGTGAAGCTTCTCTCTCTCTTCAAGAAGCTGATTGAACTTTTCTTGAATTTCCTATTTAAAAGAATAATAATTCCATTATTATTATTATTCATCTAATATTTTAAACAACTCCATAAAGTTTTGAGAAAATTACATGAGATGCGTAATGATTGTTTTGAATCATTTCATCAGCCAAATCCATAACTTGCCGGAAGCTGTCTTCTCTCGCTTCGATTTCAGCACAAAACCTTTTATGCTCTTCTTTAAAACTCTGAGCCATTCCAGCGTCTCGGGCTTTGACGTCAGTCATTATAGTCATTCGTAACTCATTCGCCCAACTCATCAAATCCCTGACCTAGAAAATAAAATATTTAAGTATTGTTGGAAAAACGATATCTGTGAAGGAACCTACCTGTGATAAAAATCGTTGATGATCACAGCTGGCTTGAAGTATTCTTTTCCTTAGATCAGATTGTTGTTTTAAATCTTCCCAACTAGCTATTAGGACTTCTTGTTTCTGTGCGATCTGATTGACATTGCTTCCTGGGTACAGAGCCTGGAGTCTCACTGCATCTTCAACAAGAACCTGGAGTCTGTCACCAAGTGCGACAAGGTCATTTTCAAACCCTTCGTGACGCCGGACAAGTGCTAGAGCTGAATTGAGGTCTCTTCCTAAGTCATCTCCAAGGACAGCTTTCTTGTCATTTATTCTTGATAAGGCATCAGCTACATCTCGATTGAACCTGTGTATTTCTCCAGCAGCAGTTAATCTCTGATCCCTTTTGTCAAGTGCAGTCATCAACTGTTGCCAATATTCCCTAAAGAAAAGAGTTAAAAAATATATAAATAATTTTTTTAACTTTTAAATTTATATAATAATTACCCTAAATGATACTGTCGTGATTCAATTTCTTCTGCATAAGGACTTTCATTTGTTACAAGTTTGGTCGCAAGGACTTTACACTGATTAAAACGTTCAGTTCCTGCATCAACCAGATGTTTCAAATCTTCAAATTTCTTTTGCAGATTCTGAAACATTAAAGGAAAAACATTTAAAACAAATTTCCAGTGATGATCTTTTTATTTTATTTTATTTTTTTTTAATTGAAAGATGCATACAAGTAAGTGTTCATAGTCTTGTCCATAATCTTCCAAGCTGGCTGCTTGAAGTTGCTCTTTGATCCATTCTTCCAATTCAGTGCTTTCGCTAAAATATTCATGTCGGCACATACTTTCAACAAGGCGTTTTTGCCTTGTACTTGCCAACTTTTGCAGATTTCTCATCTGCTGCTGGATTGATGCTTGTTTGCTTGCAATCGCTTTACAGTCAGGATGTTTACTAACTACCATCGCATTCGATACTCTTCCCATTTCCGATATAATACCATTATATGTGTCAAGTTCAAGTTCTAAAGCCTAAAAATGTTTATTTTTAATTTTATTAGTTTGATTTATGATTTATAAACAAATACCTTGTGCTTAGTGAGAAGCTTTGAGGCAGCATCCCTGTCTCTGCCAAAATCTGAAGAGCTTAAAATATTATTCTTCTCTGAGAGCCAACTTTCAACTTCATTTGCTTCAGAAAAGAACTGTTGGGCTTTAAGCGAAAGCTCAAGCTTTTTAGCTCGGTCATGAGCCTTTTGTTTCAGGTCATCCCAAGCATCTTGCAGGCCTGTGCAGAGCGAAGCGACCTGCTTTGTCTCTGGGTGACTTTGATGTATTAAAGCGTTGCCGGATGCTAGAGTTTTTTCAATCATCGGCTGATGGCCTTCGATTTCTGCTTCCAATTTTTTGTGTTTTTTGAATAATGCTTGTGCTTGGTAAAGGTTACTGCCGAGAGTGTCTGATGAAGCCAACGGTAGGTGTTCTCTTATCCAACCTAACTCAGTCTCAAGTTCAAAGCCAAATTTATGAAACATGAGTGACTCTTCAAGAGCTTCTCGCCTCTTTCTGGCCGGTTCTTGAAGAGCGCTAAACCTAGAGACAAAAATGATCAATTGAAATAACGATTTTCAAACCAAAATCAATATTAAAACAAAAAATGAACTGACTTATCATAACACTTTTTACAATCTTTAATTATATTGTCGGCATCAAAATGCCCCTCATGAACCATTTCTTGGCCCAGAGAATTCAAATCTTTTATCTTCTGTTCCCATTGATTAATATCAGATTCAACTGCCTGAAAATGGTAAAATGATTATTTTTAATGTGACTTTTTTTCCTTTTTTTTAAAAAGACCTGTTGTAGCAATTGTTTTTACCTGATGTTTCTTAAGAAGTTGTTTGCAATTTCTCAAGTCAGATCCTAATTGATCAGATTGTAAGCAGCATTTGATCTCTTCAATCTTGATCTTCGCATCTTCCAGAGTTCTGTTGTAAGAATGTTGAGCCGCGGCTTGTCTCAGTCGCTTGCCCTTTTCCATGGAACATTTGACAAGAGCGTGCCATTTTGCGTTGAGCTCTTTAAGCAGTTGTTCAACTTCGGGCTTTCTGTAATTGCCTTCCGCTATTAACCTTTCGCCACCCTTGTTTATTGTTCTCAGTTGTTTCTCATTCGATCTGAGCTCCCTTTCGAAAGCTTCATGCTTTTGAAGCTTACGCTCAATGTTGTTCAAGTCGCGGTATGACTCATCTCCAGCGGTTTTTATTTTTTCTCCAAGCCAAGCTCTCAGGTCATCAACATCTGCAGCAAAATTGTGGAAGTTTGAAGAAGCGATCAATTCGGCTCTTCTCTTAGCAGACAGTTCCTTTACATTTTTACGTCTTTGAATGACTTGATTTCTTCTGTCGTTTACACTAAAAATAAAAAAATTAATATCAGAATAAGTGATAATAGAAAATAAACAAATATTTCCTTACTATTCAGAATCATAATGTTTTGCTCTCATTAATTTGTCAGCGATATCGCTAAATTGCTTTATTCTTTCATCCTGAGCATATAAAGTGTTTTCAAAATCTTCATGTCGCTTAAGCAAAGCGAGTACATCATCAATTGAGCTCTAAACAAGTAATCAAGTATTTAATCATCAGATTTTTTTTTAAATGTTGAAAATTAGAAATTTTCTTACACCCAGATCAGTAAAGTCAAGAAAAGCTTCATGGATAGATGTTGTTGTATCAATGTGATCAGCTTCCTGGTTAAAACATTGGAGGTCGAGGCACTGTCGTAACCAGTCGCCTTTTTCAGCGTGTCCTTTTTGAACAGCCGCTTGTTCCTTTCCAAGTTTGACCAATCTGTCTTTGACTTCAGTCAGCCCAGGGTTGTGGGCTACAAGCTGATTTCCTAAGTCTGATAATTCTACAAACCTATATTGAACAAATGATTTATTAAATGTTAGTAAGAATTCACTATTTTTCGTGGTCCGCTTGGCCAAGCAATATCATTCAATTAATTAAGACTTTCAGTTGCAAACCTATATTGAACAAATGATTTATTAAATGTTAGTAAGAATTCACTATTTTTCGTGGTCCGCTTGACCAAGCAATATCATTCAATTAATTAAGACTTTCAGTTGAGATAAAAAAGTCAGTGTCACGAGCGGGATTCGAACCCACGATCTTCGGCTAGATACACCGCTGCTCAACCACTCGAGCTATCGTGACCTCGATCCACTCGGACACTAATTTCCCATCTCAACCCCACCTTTTGAATTTTCCCTCCTTTTTTCCATTTTTCAAATGCCGTGAAATCTATTTGATTCTATCTATTCTTGATTGGCCATGGCCAATTTGTCGCCGAGAATCAAATATATTACACAGCATTTGAAAAATGGCAAAAAGGAGGGAAAATCGAAAAGGTGGGATTGAGATGGGAAATTAGTGCCCAAGTGGATCGAAGTCACGATAGCTCAAGTGGTAGAGCAGCACCATATCTAGCCGAAGATCGTGGGTTCGAATCCCACCCTGACACTGACTTTTTTATCTAAACTGAAAACCTTAATTAATTGAATGCTAATAAGAATAATTGAAATAAAGAAAAACAAGAGACATACTCGTCATTATGGGCCTTGATGTCTTCAGTCAACTCGATATGCTTTTTCAGAAGGCTTTCAGCAGTTTGAACATCCCGTGCTGTTTCATCGGCATTCAAAGCTTCTTTAACCAAGGTTAACCAATTCAGCTGAAAGACAATTTTGTAAATTTATTCAATACGCTTAAAACGGTTAAAATAATGTAATAAGATAAAAAATTTACCAAATTTTTTGAACTATTCATAAATATCTGTTGGCCAACTGCATTTTCAAGTCTTGATCTTCTATCGACAGCTTTTTTCTAAAACAAAAATAAAATTATGTTGAAACACAAGTAAATATATTTAGAAGTTGATTAAGGTTGAAAAAAGTGAAATTATATTAATTATTTTTTAAATTCATTAGATTTCGTGGTTCGATTGACCAAATAACATCTTTCAATTAATTAAGGTTTTCAGATGAGATAAAAAAAGTCAGTATCACAAGTGGGATTCGAAGTTAGTGTCCGAGTGGATCGTAGTCACAATAGCTCAAGTGGTAGAGCAGCGGCATATCTAGCCGAAGGTCGTGGGTTCGAATCCTGCTTGTGACAATGACTTTTTATCTCAACTAAAAACCTTAATTAATTGAAAGATGTTATTTGGTCAATTGGACCATGAAATCTAATGAATTTAATAAGTTAAAATGAAGTATATCTTCACTAAAGCTCTCCGTGGCCATTTCATTTGTCACTGAGAATCAAATAGATTACACGACATTTGAAAAATGGCAAAAAGGAGGGAAAATTCAAAAGGTGGGGTTGAGATGGGAAGTTGGTGTCTGAGTGGATTGAAATCACGATAGCTCAAGTGGTAGAGCAGCGGTGTATTTAGCCGAAGGTCTGGGTTCGAATCCCACTTGTGACACTGACTTTTTTATCTCAATTTCTAAATTATTTTAAAGTAAAAAATGTAAAAAACATTTACCTGGACTTTATCCCACAATTCTAATACTTCCTTTTGTTTTGTATTAACACTTGATTTTTCATTTGGATAAGATGATTTTACACTATAAAAAATATATAATAAATTAGAAAAAAAAATCTTTACTTATTTGAATTGATATCAAAACAGTATGAAAACGTACGTGTTTGCTAAGTGGTTTACTCTGTTCACTTTTTCTTCAACGGGCGCAAGCTCTCTTTCAAGGTTTTGATGTCTTCTCTGCAATGCTTGTACTGTTTTCAGGTCAGGGCCTAGCTCAGCAGTATCTAGCTGCATCATTTTTTCATACATCCAGTCTTTGGCTTCGACACACGTCCGGTGGAACAATTCCACACTAGAATCATTAGAAAAACAGTTAGGTCCTAGACTCAATTTCTGGGAGTAAATAGAAATGTGTACAACCTTGATGCACCCTCAAGGCTTTTGTCTTTCTGTGCTTTCAACCAGTTCAGGTGGTCCCACATTTGATGGATCTGTTGTTGTTTGGCACGCACTTTATCAAGCTGTGAATGGTTCTGTTCGACAAATTCATCCACTGTGGCATCAAGGGCCTCAATCCTCTTACTGCTAGCTGACAGATCGGTTAAAAATTTCTACAAAGAATTTCGTTATTCAATTATATCTTCCTGGGAATTTTTCAGAAAAAGAGAGTCGATTTACCTCAAATTTTCTCTTTGCAGTTTCAACATTATCAGATTTATCTCCAGACCTGAGCATCTTTTCCTTATCTTTAATCCATTTGCTGAAATCTTCACACTCTCTAAAGAAACCATATAATCTGATGGAATCCTCTAACAAAGCCCGTCTTTTCTGAAAATTGTGTATAACATTTCAAACGATTGTTAAAATAATTTTTAATTATATCAGATATTAACTATTAATCAGATAAACTTTAAAATTGAAAAAATATTGAATGTGTGATCAAAACAAACAGCATGAACATGCTGATTTATATTTTAGAAGCCCAATATGATTATATTCAATAAAGCTTTGTGTGAAAATAAAAGATTTATTACTCACTTGTGCTAGGTCTTTTAACTGAGTGTATGTCTCATTTATGTATTTCTGTCTCTTTTCTACTTGCTGATTATCATTGACTACTTGTTTCTTTGGTTGAACTAAAAATTAAAAATGAAATTAAAAAAATAGAAGGAAGGCGGGCATTAAAAAAAGAAGGGCAGCTGAGAAGTTGGGGTGTTAGGAGTAAACCGTTCAGTTGATCAGTTCAGCATGGGTTTATTCACTTGCAGACAAACCACCAAGATTAAATGAAAAATTCACTGTATTAAAAAGAAAATTTAAAAAATTTACCTTTTGGTTTTGGAGGTAATATTTTTTTCACTCTGACTACTGTTTCGACAAGTTTGGTTTTTTTAACTTTCTGAACTCCTCGGACTTTTTCAGCCCTACGGACGATGACTTCTCTCATCTTTGGCTCTAGTTCCTTAACATAATTTGCAGGTACAAAACCGACTTGGCCGTTGGCCTTTCTGACACTCCACCAATCAGGATTTTTCTTGTCAAGCAAGATCATCACTTCTCCCTTAGCCATGACCATTCCTTCCTGCCCGCTGAAAGCATAAAGCGCTTTGACTTCGGTAACAGGCATGTATTCCTTGACATTTTTCGACTCGAGTTTTTCTACAGGCTCTTCTTCCCAAACTTCTTGTGGGACTAGCTGCTTCTCGTAAACCCATTCTTCTACTCTGGGCTCCACTTCTACTATTTCAGGCTCAGTTGATAACTAAAAACCAAAAAGTTAATACTTTTCAAATTATATTTAAGTTCAAGTTAAGTTAGTTTCGTGGTCCGCTTGACCAATTAATATAACACAATTAATTAAGGTTTTCAGTTGAGATAAAGTAGTCAATGGCACGAGTGGGACTCGAACCCACAATCTTCGGCTATACACGCCGCTGCTCTACCACTTGAGCTATCGTGACCTCGATCACTCGGACACTAACTTTCCATCTCAACCTCACCTTTTGAATTTTCCCTCCTTTTTGCCATTTTTCAAATGTCAAATGTGTTGTTAATTAATTGTAAGATATTAATTGGTCAAGCGGACCACGAAACTAGTGAATTTAATAAGTTTAAAATGAAGTATATTTCACTAAAGCTCTCCGTGACCATTTCAATTGTCGCCGAGAATCCAATCCGATTACACGACATTTGAAAAATGGCAAAAAGGAGGGAAAATTCAAAAGGTGAGGTTGAGATGGAAAGTTAGTGTCCGAGTGGATCGAGGTCACGATAGCTCAAGTGGTAGAGCAGCGGCGTATCTAGCCGAAGATCGTGGGTTCGAGTCCCACTCGTACCATTGCCTTTTTTATCTCAACTGAAAACCTTAATTAATTGTATTATATTTAAGCTCTAGTGTACCTCTAGTGTTGAAATTCCAGCTTTGACCAGTTTCTCAGCTTGAGCATTTAAACTTTGAATGTCTCCAGTGTAAGCGTTAATTTCTCCTTCAAGATCTTTGTGTCTGTGTAGAAGAGCTTGAGCACTGGGTTCGTCTTCTCCATCGTCTTTTGTACTAACGAGGGCCATCATTTCATTTAACCATGATTCAGCTTCATTTGCATCAGCATAAAACTAATTAAAAAAAAAACATGTTTATTAAACAATAATTTTCTTTCTTAATTTTCTTTGATTTATAATAAAATTACTTGATATGCTTCAGCAGCGTCTTGAAGCTGTTTACTCCTACTAGTCGACAATTCTGTCAATTTTTGCCAGTGGTGCTGCAAGCTCTGGACCCTTGACATTATTTCTTTTGATTTTGGGTGTTTCTCATTAATCAACTGTTTACCCGCATTGCACAACTGTTCTGATTTTGGTCTCCTCCCTCTCATCTCATCTAGCATCAACTGTAAAAAATTCATTATGAAATATTTACATAAGAGATGTAATAAAGATAAAGGCAATAATGTAAAACCAGCCTTGTGTTTTTGTTGTAGGCTGATTACAGCGCGTAAATCCTTTGCTGTTATTCCCGTCTGGCAGATCCTCTGTTTCTCAATCAGCCAGCCTTCCTCATCTTCATGGTCTTGTACAAACTGATAAAAATTTCTAGCTTCTTCCAATCTCTCTTTTCTAGTTTTACACCTTTCTATCAAACTGTAACAAAAGTAAATTGTTACAAGTGTCAAATATCAAAGGGTCTTTTATAAAAATCAAGACGCTTACTTTGTGTAAGCTTTGTTCAATTGATCAATCCTGGACTGCAGCAATGGACTTTCTTTGTGACCTGCTGAAATATACTGCTGGCATTGTCTTGTAAGCTTTCTTACTGTCTCGCCCATAGCTACAGTAATCTGCATCTCACTTAGACTATGCTTCTGCAGAAGATCTTCAACTCCTAGTAAATGAGGCCCAACATCCTCTGATTGGAAATTTGCCTTGAAAAAAGTTAATCGTTTCTTATTATACTTAAACTTTTTAAATTAAAATTTGGACAAATTAAAATATTAAAAATTTGTTATTACCTCGAGATCTTTTATCGTCGACATAATAGTGTCAATTTCCCTTGACATTGCCATCAGGGTGCACATTGTATTTAAATTGGCACGGTGTTTATCCAATAGAAGAAGAAGCTCCTTCCATTTTGACAATACTTCAACTTCCCTTTTTTTTACTTTTTCATGCCCGTGGTAATTCTCTTTGATTAGCTCTTCACACATGTTACTCAAATCGTGAAAACGTTCCTCCTATAAACAGAAATACTAATGTAGCATGTCTCAAATCATACTACTAGATTCTTGTCCATATGGTCAGTCAAACATGTTTTGATATTTGCCAAGAAATTCTAATGTAATGAATAATCAGAAATTAGCAAATTGAATTATAACTTTACCCTAGCTAAAATATCAGCACTGATGGCTTCGTGCTTTTTTACTGTTGCGTCCACTTGAGCCAGATTGCTACCATACCTCTGATCGGATAAGACTTGAATCATTTCTTTTAAAAATCCTTCTCGGAGGACACTCTAAAATTGAAAAAATAAAATAAAATATTGACTGGATATTAGCAAACTTCAAATTTAATTCATTATATATCTTAATTATAAATTAAAATAATGCATTTAGACAAACCTTTTTTTCAAAATTGTAGTTAAGCTGCTCTAATCTTTCTTGTCGCAGGAGCTCTTGTCTAAGAACGACTTCTCGTCTGTGTTCAGCGGCTTCTAACATTTCCCAACCTCTTTCTAAATCATGGATCAATTTTCCTTCTGAGGGAATAAAAGCTGGTTGGTTAAGAGATTTCAACAATGTGTTGATGTGAAAATAAAGTGCTTCTATTTCACTCCTATCTTTGTACCTGAAATACAACATATAATAATATAATAAAAACAAACCGTAAAAAGTATTAAAAAGTAATATTTTACTTTGGTGGTTTTTCTATTGTTCTGTATTGTTTGAATGACAACAATTCTTTTTGTATTCCCTCCAGAGAATTGGGAAAATTCCTGTCCTCTAGTTGTGCAACTTTTTGTTTGATCCATTCTAACAGCGTGGTCGTTAGTTTTTCATAGTATACTTTCATTTTGTCGGCGTCCATCATTTGGCCCACAATCTGTTCAAGGATTCAAAGGATAATTGTAGAAATTAAATTTAAAAATAAAAATATGCTTAATATGTAAAATAATTACGTTGGCTATCCTTCTTCCACTTTTCATTTCGTTTTTCATCCTAGCAAATGTGTGATAGTAAGAAGCAACATAAGTCATAATTGACTTTTCATCAGGGCGATTTGTATCGACATCTGAAATTAAATTGATTATGCTAAGCGAGGATAATGAAAATTCAAATGTATACCTTCGGCGTCGAGGAGTTTAGGGATGCCAAGCTCAGTGTGGGCGATTTCAAACGCATTGTTTAGATTTTCAATGTGTTTTGCAGGATGAAGAGAAGTAAACTCGATTAAGTCTGGTCTGTGGGAATGAATAAGGGCGTTGAATCCAAGTCCACTCCTCCACGATCCTATATAAATAATTGTTATAGTTAAATTGGACGAGATGTTAAGAAATATTTTCAATATTTCACCTGTAAAATCTTGAATGTGTACACCAGGATAGCCTGTAGTTTTTCTTTGACACCACAGCAACAAAGCATCTTTTGCTGATTTTTTCTCGCTACTTTCATTTTCTTCATCCTAAAAACAAACAAACTGAATTGTCAAATGCCAAATTCTGGATATTATGATTAACAGTATATACACTGATGGACAATTTTAACACACCACTCAATTTTTTAAAGTTTGAAATTAAAGCCATTATTTTTCTACATGAGTTACAGGTAATTAGGAGCTATCAAAGTCAAAATGAACAGTAAATAATGTTTTTCTATGTCCTGTATTGAAGTTTGTATGAATAATCTCATTTGCACAAAAAAGAGAATTGTGCCCTTCCATTGCGTCTAAAGATCGCTTTCAGTTAATATTTTTCCTTTGTTGATTTCATTTGATATTATTCTTATCCTTAAACCTTTTTCAATGGCTCCAGTCAAGCATTTGAGTGGGTATGACGTGTTAGGTTTGTAACATTATTAAAGGAAGGACACACAGTGTGAAGTTGCCCGTAGACTGAGTGTAAATCACTCTACACTAGGAAGGGTTCTTCGGTGCTTCAGAGAAACTAGAAGGCTAGGACAGGTCGACCTAGGTATATGGATGAGAGAGGCAACAGATTCATCTGTCATTAGGCTGTAAGTAACCGCAACATTATGGGAGATGAGATAAGAAATCTAATAAGACAAGTCTGAAATGTTTTGAGTTCCTCTAGGACTGGAAAAATGGCTCAATGAAAATACATAAGGGCTTGCGGACCTCCTCTTATTACAGCTTAGAAAATGGCCGTTCTCTATTGGAATATTGGTGATGAGTACTCTTTACAGTTGAGATGAGAATTGGCCTTAAATCTTCACTTGGGTGTAATTTCATATGGAGATGCTCATAAGAAAAGTAGACCTCGTGCTTTATTGTTCTTTAGGTGGCATTCCATTGTGGGTCATTGATGTTCTGCGGTGGCTTTTCTTTGAACGCCTGCACCAAATTGGTTGTTGTGTAAGGACGTAACTTCACAGAGGTACTTCAAGACATAATCAAAGAGCATACCATCATGGGTCATTTGCCCCGCCCAGGACCCATAGAGCACATATTGTGGATTACTCGCTGGACGAGTCACTGGATTACCTGAATAAGGTTGGAGTGCTTGGTGTGGAATTGAAATTGTTTAGGTCCAACTTAAGCGATAAGTATGGTGGTGAATCCCAAGTCCAAACACCCTAAAAGAGTTGGAAATGGTTTTTCTTGTTGAATGGGAAAGAATTCTTCAGGATCTTACCAGAATTCTTTTCCAAGGTTCGCAAAGGCATTTAACAGACTCTTGCCAGAGGAAGAAATACTCCATCTTAAAAGGGACAATTTTTTTTTTCATTTTTATTTTTTTTTTTTAATTTTCTGTTTATTTGTTTTGTTCTTTACTCAATAATAATAATTATTATTATTATTATTTTAGAATTAGGTAATAAACATTTTCTTTTGTCTTATTGTTCTTATTTTTACAACAAAACCTATTTTTGGTATGCAAACTATGAATAAACCTAAATACATGGTAGTGCGTAATTATTTTACCCATCAGTGTAATTTAAATTTAATTTTCTCGGAAAATTTGTTTTGTACCTGTTTCCTTTCCCGTTCAAGCCGATTTGAATTTAAAAAAAGAAAAAAGTTATTTGACTCACAATTCTTTCTTAAAAATTCGAAAATTTGAAATTTTTCACTAGTGAATTTTAGTTAGCGGTGCAAAATTGCCACTATAGCAGTGCTTTTCATTTAAAAAAAGTTTGTACATTAAATTTACACAGGCTATTAACATAATTTACAAATTATAACTAACCTTATTTCAATAACTGATCGCTTACACAAATAAAACAATTATTTTTCAGCTACAATTTTGTGTTGTCATTTAGAAAAATTTCATCGCCAATTTATAATCTATGCATTTAATATACCTTAATTAAAATCAATAAGACCTAAATCTTCGATACTTTACCACATCGATTTCTATTTCCTGGATCTGGAATCTGAGGATGATTGTCCAAATGAGCCCAAGGATCAGTCGCCGGTTCCCGTCGACAATATCTTCTGCTCCGATACTTTCAAGGCGGACCTGAATAAGTAATAATAAATTAGGGTGAAATTCAATTCTTTTTGGCCTTGTATGCTTAACAATTATTTTATGAAACATATTTCCATTTTTCACTCTTAAAAAAATTGAAATAATATAAAAATATTGAATAAGTGATTTTTACTGAAATCTGGATAATTTCTTAATTGTGTCTTTCCATTCTACTTGTCAAGGTGAATGCATTTATATTCAGCTGACAGTTGAACAAAAACACCTATCCACTTTTATTTAAAATAATATCTTGTATTTATATTGCAAAATATTGTATAGGGATCAACGAGAATCACAGATCATTTGGTCAATTCTAATCATTATGGTTCACTTACATCCCTAGTTTTGTTTGTCAGAAACTTTTTATAAATCTGCAATTGTCATCACATCTTGTCATTAATTTCAGCAGAATTTGTTTCAGATATTCCACTCTAGGAAGCAAAATGATTGAAATACAGTAAAAATAAGGCACATTCAACTCACTTTCCTTCTCATTTGACGCTCACAAAAATGAAAAATGATAATAAGTGGGTAATAAAAATAAATAGGGTCTCACCATTGTTATTTTGTATTAGCAAGTATATCTGAAATTTTAGCTACTACTAGTCCTAAGAGCTGGTCAGTGCCTATTTCACCTTGATTTTTTCTTTCATCAATTCACAATTATCTACAAGAGAGCTCACAA